CTTGAAAAAAGTAATCGGATTACAGTAACACGTTAGTTGCGTTACTTGTAACGCGTTGCTGCCCATCTCTGGTAATAATGAGATATGACACAGAGGGTCAAACTCACAGGAGGCCACACTAGAGCTCAAACACCAGGAGATGAGAGAGATGATGTCAGAGTCCAGATGCAGCAAAAGGCTGGTTTTTGTAGACTTGATCAAAAATGTTCTTTTGTCAGAAAACTTTTTGCATGAAACAGATTTGCATGATTAAACTCTCTTGTTGTTATAACAAGGCTGTCACGATCAGCTGATATATACTGGGTACCTAAGTGACGTAGCTTGTTCATAGCTAACCTAGCTGCAGTTACCAAACGGATTAGTACTATCTGCTCTGAAGTCGGCAGACTATGGGCTGTTCTGATGACACAGTGCTTCAAACTGCGCTAAATAATGTGTAATTGAAGCTCATCAGTTTTGTTATTATGTGACTGTGTGGTGGCAAGCAAAAGAACCGGGAATGCCAATTTGTAGGGGATAGCCTTTAGCTTAGGTTAGCTTAGCCTTTAGCTCCTTTAGTCCCCTTCCCCCTTTTTTCTGTCTCTGCTGTCGACACAGACAGCCGGGACTCCTGGACTTTCTGCTACATCAAATGATGCAACTATGGTGTTGAAGTAAGCCACTTAGCCTCTTTTATGACATTAGGCTTGAAGACCAAATCCCACTTATGGTTCAGCCTGGAGGAGGTTTGTTGAGTTGGTGGAACAAAGTGTTGATCCACTTCTAAGACAAAAAATCAATCTATACTACGGTAAATCTAAATTAAAGGAAATTTATACTGTAGTGTGCTTCATAGCATCTGCTTTCTCCTTGGTAGGAGAAACCTGTCAGCACCACAGGTCCAGTGAGGGCACTGAATATTTCTGAATAATCTTCCTGTAGCATCTTTGTATATAAGTGTTGGATCAGACATGTGGGAATGCTAATGAAACAGGCAAAAATTAACATTCCCTTTTGGGAATGTTAAGTCCCAAATTAACATTGTTAATGTTGTTTTGGGAATTCCCAAAAGGAAAATGCTAATTGTTCAAGGAGCTGTCCTTCACCTCCCTTATTTATGCACCGTTCAAATTCAGTAAACATCAGGCTCAGATCAGGTTTTTACAACAGAAAATCAAAGTGCTGTTTTTCATCAATATGAGCTCGTAAACTGTTATTAAGCAGACAGTTTGCTTAGCTTCTTAACTTATATGATCATAGAAGGCAGGTAATCAATCATCTGTACAAATGACTTCTTCAGTCCTGGAAACAAACAACTTCAATTCAATTCAATTTTATTTATATAGCGCCAAATCACAACAAAAGTCGCCTCAAGGCGCTTCATAGATACAGAGAAAAACCCAACAATCATATGACCCCCTATGAGCAGCACTTTGGCGACAGTGGGAAGGAAAAAATCCCTTTTAACAGGAAGAAACCTCCGGCAGAACCAGGCTCAGGGAGGGGCGGCCATCTGCTGCGACCGGTTGGGGTGAGAGAAGGAAGACAGGATAAAGACATGCTGTGGAAGAGAGACAGAGATTAATAACAGATATGATTCAATGCAGAGAGGTCTGTTAACACATAGAGAGTGAGAAAGGTGACTGGAAAGGAAAAACTCAATGCATCATGGGAATCCCCCGGCAGCCTACATCTATTGCAGCATAACTAAGGGAGGATTCAGGGTCACCTGGTCCAGCCCTAACTATATGCTTTAGCAAAAAGGAAAGTTTGAAGCCTAATCTTGAAAGTAGAGATAGTGTCTGTCTCCCGAATCCAAACTGGAAGCTGGTTCCACAGAAGAGGGGCCTGAAAACTGAAGGCTCTGCCTCCCATTCTACTTTTAAATACTCTAGGAACAACAAGTAGGCCTGCAGAGCGAGAGCGAAGTGCTCTAATAGGGTGATATGGTACTACAAGGTCATTAAGATAAGATGGGGCCTGATTATTTAAGACCTTGTATGTGAGGAGCAGGATTTTGAATTCTGGATTTAACAGGAAGCCAAAACAGGAGAAATCTGCTCTCTCTTTCTAGTCCCTGTCAGGACTCTTGCTGCAGCATTTTGGATTAACTGAAGGCTTTTCAGGGAGTTTTTAGGACTTCCTGATAATAATGAATTACAGTCGTCCAGCCTGGAAGTAATTAATGCATGAACTAGTTTTTCAGCGTCACTCTGAGACAGGATATTTCTAACTTTAGAGATGTTGCACAAATGGAAGAACGCAGTCTTACATATTTGTTTAATATGTGCGTTGAAGGACATATCCTGGTCAAAAATGACTCCAAGGCTAAAACATTCTTTGTAGTTGTGTCATTGTGGGTACAGCAGCTCACAGCAGAGTCTTTTCAGCTCAATCAGACATTTCTTAGAACGTTTCCCGCTCAGCCATCTCTAATTTGCATAAAAACACATTATAGTCCAGATTGCACATATATAATGATTGCTGTGAAATTTTAAATTCACATACTTATACATATATGAATCCTTTTAACATGCCATTTATTTTTCATGCTGGATTAAGCAAATATGATCAGTCCTCCTTGGTGTGTGCCTTGGCTCCTGCAAACACTGTCCCCAATCTCTAAAGTTCTGTTGGTGATGGGCCTACAGCAGGGTGGGCCCTTTTTTCCTTTAGTTTAGTTTTTTAAAATGTGCGTATGTGTCCTGAACCTTTTCTTTCAACAGCTATTTAACTGTAAAATAAGCTGGTGCAAGATGTTCATTATTAATATTTGCTTTATTTAATCAAAAAGTAGACAATCAGGGATGATTACAGATTGTTCCTCATTCTTTTTAGTTTTTAGTATCAACTCAACAAAAGAAGCAGATTAAATGCTAACCATCAGTCGATATTACACCTCGAGTTTCAGTCTGAAATGACCTCAGTCTTGATACTTTTGGTTTCTGGTGAAGAACGTCCAACACATACCATGGAAACGTTGATCCTCCAAACAGAGCAAGGCAACTGTGCAAACAAAATCCATATCACTGCAGAAGCTGTCAGTTATC